GTGAGCCTCGCATTAACAAGTAACTGCGTGAGAAGGTCATATACAGATTATTTCAAAAGTATGTCTGCAGTATCTGACGGTTTTTAAGTTTTTGCTCTAACAAGGAAAGGATACTTGGTGACCGCGGCCTTTTGAAATGAAACGTATATCGAATGCATCTGGAAGCGCTACCAAATCTGCCTTCGATATCCGCTGTGCACTCTTTCGAAAAAAGTTCTGAACATTTCTTGACAACAAAATTTGCGCTGTTTTCGATGCAGGATTCACCAGTGTCGTTAGAATGTTCGCTTACGCACTACAAAAAAGCGTTCAAATAACTAAAGTTTTACGTTAAGCTTAGAAAAACTGACTCTGATGTATAGGAGTCTAAAAAGCGTAGATACTGACGATTCTGACTGCCCAAATCTCGTAAAGTCGATTTGAAAAAGTCCATAACTTTGTTCAGGGAGTCGCTCAGAGCAGATAATAAACATAGGTTTAAAATTAGCATTCCAAAACCCACCTACTGCTCAGACAACTGCATCGGAAAGTTCGCGGCCTCAAAGCGTGTTACATGGCGCGCCGCGGCCCTTAAAATTTCAACCGCACACGCCGCGGCCCATGTGTATTTTACCGGGAACGCCGCGGCCAAAGTTGAAATCGGGAAGAGATTACCGGGAAAGTCGCGGCCCAACCACCTCACTCGGCGGGCCGCGGGTCCTATCAAAGGCCGCACTTCTTACACGCTGTAGTTTAAGGCGCAACCCTCGTGAGGTACGTCGCACCGTTGGGGCTACCCTAAGTGTTTAGCAGGCTGGGTATCGCTTCTCGGATTTGGTCCTATCTGAGTTGATTCTTATTTTGATGGAATAAACTTTAGCAGTCGGATGAGTAATATCGACGACATTAGATGACAGATGAGCTAACAAGATGCTCAATTTGTGCTGTCGTTGTCATGAAAGACACGCCAAAAGATTTTTCACTCTTCCTAGGCCAAACAAGCATGCTAATCGGGTCAACTATCGGGCGCTTACAGGGTGCGCCGCGGTCACTTATCGGGTCCAATTTCGGTTTATACCGGGTAGCTCGCGGCATGGATGATTGGTGGTCGAGCAAGCACCCGCGAACTTCCCGATGCGATTGTCTGAGTGGTATCAGTGGCGTACAGGGGATTTCGGCTCGGGGGGGGGGGGGGGCGCGACAAAAATTTTTTCCTAAAGAAGGTGCATGGCGTTAGCCACGCACTCCGAAAAAATTTTTGGGGTGCTTCTCAAAATTTTTGCGGGTCCCCGACCCCTGAAATCTGGAAAAAGGAGGCGTGGCGTTAGCCACGCCCCCGAAAAATTTTTCTTTATAAGGCTAAAATGAATTTTCAAAAATTTTTAAAAATTATTTTAATTATTCACAAGTACAGACAAGTCATTAGCACGATTTTATAATCCACGTAAGTAAGTTTCAAAAATTTCGCGACCCGTTCTCGGGGGGGGGGCGCCCCCCCCCCCCCCGCCCCTCCCCCTCGGTACGCCACTGCTGGTATACATCTCTTTGTAAAAGGCCACGGTCACCAAGTATCCTTTCCTCGTAAGCCTTTCGACGATCGTTAGTCAAGTAGAGCTGGATTCATCCTAGATTTACATTTCAAAGCAAATCTGAATTTTTTTCGATCACTATAGGACTACGTTATGAACTTCCAGCATAGCACCCTTTTAAATTAATGCCACTACAATTTTTTTCCAGAACATTAACATGTAACGCTGAGTGATTCTATTGTTTCACGTCTTTCATGAGCGCAGCGAAAAAATGTGTTAAATAGTTGTTCAATGAAGCAAAGCAAGCTTTACAACATGGTTCAACATCCGCTAAAGAATGATCGACGTAAATTTCGAAATTATTCAAATCAAAAAGTTATCAAATACCCAAACAATAAGCCTCCGTAAAATTCCCCATGACCCGATGCAACCCACGCTTATTCTCCCCTCACCACACGTGCATGTACAGGTGCGTATTATGCGAGCACGAAATATAAACATCGTTTTCTTCCGGTTCTATGCTAAACTTCATAACCTCGAGTCATTTGTAACTGAATATATGAGATTGCACACTAAGCCCTATTAGCGACGGCACTCATACTAGTAACTTCCCAGTAAAACTAATCTAGGCTAACAAAATATAGAAATGTGTCCTACTGACTAACATATAATCAACTAAAACTAAAGAAACAAGGAAACGGGGAGAAATCACTGGAAATGAGCACGTTCGAGTTTCGCATTTCATCAATTAGCGCGTATAGTGTGCACTACTCATATTAAGTTACAAATGACTCGACGATAATTAACGAGCCGCGGGTGTGTAAGGCTGACAATCATGTTTGCACTTGTGAAGACACGATAGTACGCAGTACGGTACTTATGTGGATAGTCAGCATGCTTTGGTAATATTAGGTCGTTCCGAAAGTTCTTTCTGTTTTTCAACCTATCATAAAAACACATGGAATGAAAATAGGGAAACGCTTCAGGCGCTATCCGACGCACTTTTCTTTTCAACAGTCGTATTCCTGTATCGCTTACTCTTGTGGTCAGTGAGATAATGGCCGAAATTTTGAACCCATGGTTTTTACCATGTCCAAATTTGAGAATTTTTCACAATTTTCTTTTTTTACTTTTGGAGAAGCTTCAATAGCAGTCGGATAGAGTAAACAAAGTGCGATTTGATGGAATTTTTTGGCAATTTCAACTGGCTTCTCAGTATTTTTTTGAGACAACTTTTCAAGAAGTCTTCACTTTTTCGAAGTCACAAAAACACAAAAGCTCCGAACATTAGCAAATCTTTGGATTTTGACACTATCAAAATTCATTTATGATTGTCCACTATTTTTACAAAATAACTGAGTGTTTATCGCCTCGCAATATAAGATTTCGCATTTTACGCGCACACCCTCAAGCGGTTTCAAAACAAAGGGTTATGAAAATTTTATGGCCAAAAACCTCCACAAATTGGGGAGAAAAATACTAATAGAGGAGGAAAAGCTGCATCGAATGACTTCTTGGCATCACCAAAAGTGGAATTTGATAGCATCAGAAAAATAATTCTAAAAAAATTTTAGGGCTAGCAATAGATGCCAAAAAATTCCATTAAATTGCACTTTGTTTGCTCTATGCGACTGCGACCACAACTTTCCCAAAAGTCAAGAAAGACGATTGTGAAAAATTGCCAAAGTTGGACATGGTAAAAACCATGGGTTCGAAATTTCGGCCATCATATATATATATCACTGACCGCAAGAGCAAGCGACACAGTAATATGACTGTTGAAAAGAGGAAGAAAAAATGCATCGGATAGACTTGAAGCGTTTCTCTACCTTCATTCCACGTGTTTTTATGAATAGGTTGAAAAAACGGAAAGAACTTTTGAAACGACCTAATATAATGCTACTTTTTACTTTCTCGAACTATGTAGAAATACGATAACTGTACGAAGTTTGGTGCAAAATGTATATCTACGAGCAAGTTGACGTTGATATCAAGCGGTCTTGCTTTCAAGTATTCGGTCTTTAATCTTTGTCAATAACTTCCCGCGAACCAATACTTATGCGAGTCCGTGTCTTTCAAAGAATATTTCTTGTCGCATGTATTTAAAGCCGTTTCTTACCATGGGAGAAGCTTGCCAATGTAGATGACACAAAAGAAAAGGCTGAGGTGGTCGAATAATGTCTAGGTCCTAAGTGTAATGATGGGTCTGCAAGCAGTCTGATATCAAGGATAGGCTACGTAACCTGTAGCCTGGCCTGGCACGGAACACGTAGGATAGCTACTTCGATTCTTCCTTACGCATGCGAACACCCAGTACGCTGTTGTTATGAGCGTTATGTTCATAGAATTGAATAAGCGGAATGATCTTTACCTGCTAATTCCGCTTGGATACAGTTTTATGTTCTAACACTCATTCTTAGTAAATATGTCATGTTAGCATTGGGCAAAACTCCAGACTCGTGTATATTTGAATCGTCCCCTCCACAGTTGCTGCTACCCCTGCTCCGCATCGTCTCGGCTATGCAACAACTTGTTTACAGTGCGGTGTACATGTATTCCAAATAAAAATTCCGTTTAAGAACCGATCCGAACCAAACCTTGCACGCTTAGGGCTTTAGGGCAAGGCGGGTATTGTAGGCTATTTTTCGTCATCACTCGATATCGATTTTTTGTAAAGTTTGAGGCTGGGCGTACTGATCCTAGTTTCGCAACAGTTCCAAGACAGCGCTCGAACTCGGAACCTATTGATTAGTATGAACCCAACCTAAGCTACGGTCAGCCGCCGGCAAGTCACTTTCCCTCCTTGCGCAGAATTTCGAGGATGAGCACTCAGTAAGATGCGCTCTACTCGTGTTTTCGCAGTCCACTTGTAGAAGTTCAATAAATCATTCAACACTTTTGGAAAATCGCTTGTCGACTTTTTTATTCAAATTTCTCGAAAATCGTCGCTACTTTTCTTCTGATAGAAGAAATCAGATAATCTCTTACTAGAGGCTCGTAGGGTTTATTAAAATTTAGCAGGCAAAATGCAAGAGCCATCGGCTTTTTTTCTTTAATGCCTACCTGCTCTGTGTGGTGAGAACTTTTTGCCCTGGTGAGAACTTTTTGCCCTTTTCGGAAGTCACATTATGAGCTTTTTGGTACTTCACGTTTGATACTGATTTACTCACAAGGGAAGGATACCAATATGAGTCGGAGTTTGGAGAAAAATTGTAAAATTCTGTAACGTGTCATCGAACGCTGATTCCAAACCTGGTCAACACGGCCACATCCCTGCCACTAGTACGATTCACATACATGGTGTGGTTGGGCGAAAACGTATTAGTTGTATTTGTATACTTGCATGGGCACAGCCCTCTCAATGATATCCTCATGTATGGTTGGAGAACTGTCAAACATGGCTCAACCAAGGCAAAGCTTCGTTAGCAAAGACTTTCCTCATATGAGATTGACTGAGGCAGGTTTCTAAGGGCCAGAGTAAACATCTGTTGAATTGTAGCACTCTTTATTACCCATTTATTCTGATGGCACAAATTGTGAGCAATGTCCATGATGACCCAGATTGTTTGCAGAGACTTTGAAAATGAGTAATGCGATAATGAGCGTAATCTGAAATACATCAAAAGTGGATCACGTATCTATGGACGATGTTGATGAGATCAAGAGGCATCATACTGAAAGTCACATAACTAATCAACCAGCTCTTTTTGCCGGCGCAGCGCGTTGATTTTTGAGATGATTGCGATTTTTTTGCGTAGGCCCAAAAGTCTGTTCTTGTTTTTTCTCTGCGTTTTTCTAATGGGTTTGTTCTTGTTTTTTCTCTGCGTCCTTTTTCTAATGGTAGGATATATAGTGCTTATGTATACCTGGAATAGAGTAGATAAACAGCCTACATGACGAACATAGATTTAGATTATCAGACCTCCCTGTTCTGAACCGTAGCATAACTGTTGATTGATAGTGGGATCCCATCTAGTTCAATCTGCGAGCAAAGTAAAACAATTATTATTAAGAGCGAATATAAAGCGTGGTTCATAAATATATGAACCCATATTTTGGGATCGCTTTTTGCAGAAAACTCAAAAAATCTTTGGTAAAACGTGGAAGAGCATAGCTAAAAAGGTATATGTGGCACGAGAATGAAAGTCAGTGTTAATCTTGGGAATTTTTACGTTAAATGATAGTTTTTCGCGGTTCATTATTACACAAACACCTTAAGTGATTCTCCTTTTACTACTGAAAACTGCAAACTTGACACTCAAAATTATTGTGGAGTTGCCGCATCAAAGCCTGAAATATCTTCTACACATCAACCTAGCGCAGTTCAAAGAAAAAAAATCTTACTCTTCTTGGATGCCACAAAACGCTTTTGGTGTCACTGCGCTAAAAAATCTATGTGGTCCAAATACTCCTTTTGGTGGGGTAGGGCATAATATCTAAATCTCTTACCACTTTAGGCCTCCGAAGAAGACGAACACGTCGAAACGTTAGGCCGCCACTACTAACAATAAATCTACTAACCTCGTGCTGGCTTACTAACTACTCACCACATTATAACTAACTATGCCGAGGTTAAGAAAGGAGGAAACATGGAAGTTACTCCCTCCAGCTTTTAAATATAATTTGAGATGATTCAAGCCTTTCAAATAGGTTTTTTCGACGCTTGCAAAATCTTTGGGTACTCGTCGCATTTTTCAGCCAAGTCACAATCTTTCCCTAAAGTTCACAATTTCGTGCTTTAAAACTTTTTGAAAAATTAACCTCTGTAGTTCCATGATAAGCTAAGCACAAATTTTGTACAAGTCCGTAAGATTTTGTGTCTGGCCAGAATAGTTGTGCAACGCTGAGCGCTTATTTTGGCCATGCAGACGTCATTCTGCAAGGATGGCTGTTTACCATTCCTCTGAAATTAGTCCTGCGAAAAATCCATATATATCAGCATGGATACATCAACGTACAAGCAATGTACCTGTCTCGTCGCAACTCTTTGCGCGACAGAATTTGATTTTGAGGCTCTAGATTGTGCTAACCTAAAGTGATGTCGGAATCTGGTTGGAAAACGCGACAAGAACCATAGGTGCGATAGGGGAAGCAGGGTCTCTCCAGGTGAAGGAAATTTTGGTTATGTCCGACTTAGAAAAAAGGGGAAACTGAGCCTTAAGATAAGAGGGAGTGAAAAGAAGGAAAATAAGTGGTACAGAGAGTAATGTGAAAATTTTCTTAATGCATAGGCTTTGAAAGGTCATCCAACAGAGACTTTTTTGATTCGGAAAAGCTTTGTGTTCTATCAATCGACATATTATTTGGAAGCTTGGAACATACAAAATCGACGTAGAACGTCTCTTTTTTTCCAGCTCTCCTTTAAATTCAGATATAAAAAATTATACCTATTTCCAGCATCGGCTGATTTTAGGCAATCACTTTGCGCTCCATTTCTTGAAAGAGGAGAGCTAGATAAAAAGAGACGGTTTACTGGCGAAGTCTTCCTCTCCAGAAAGGTTAGACAACTGGGCGTCTTCATTCACTCTTTGCATGTAAATTTCCTCACAAAACACAATGTTTTTAGCAAAAATGCCATGTATCTCTGAGTGAAAGGGAGAAAAAGAGAAGGCTAAGTCAAACCCCTGTTTCCCCATGAGAAAGTACTCGTCGGCACAAATGCATTGAATAGTCTAGGGGTGGAAGTAGTGATATACAAGAAGCTTGAGGTCAAAGTAAAAGCAAAGGGTAGGATGATGCCTCCACACAAGAGAAACACCGCCTCAGTAAGAGCGAAGATCCAGCAAGGCACCACAACTGTGAACAGATCTTTCTTAAAGAAGGACAGAAAGGACAGATCTGTAATCGTCAACAAGAAAACTTTTATCAAGAGAAAAAGAGATGTCAAAGCAGACAAAGCAATTGTGCCAGAGGAAGTTTGTGAGCGCAAGTGGATGAAGTCGACATGTAGGAATTGGAACGAGAAGCACAGCCCTTTCAGAAAGAATCGGAAAATGTGCGATAAGGCACAGAAAGGAGTTAAAGTCGAAAAGGCACGCAGTGAGGGAAGACAAAGTTCTGAGAAGGAACGTCTTGTTGCATTTATTGCATCGAGATATGCAGCAGCACTTGAGGAACTTGGACTGAAGAAGTGTGGAGCACTGACCAAGGTGGCAGTATCATTCAGTCAGCTCAAAAAGCATTGAAATACTTAAAGAACTGTCATATGTGGATCATAGTATGGCCCATGAACCCATGAAGGGAGGATGAGACTATCATAGAGACATTGCGGATATGCAAGAAACACCTCGAAAAAGGAGGAAAGATTGTATCCGTGTGGCCGCCACCATTGTTCAAAAAGATTGATTTGTGGAAAACGAAGTCAAAAGTATGGTCGGTGATTGAATCAGTACTGAAGAAACGGGCAAACACAAATCAGTTATTCACGTTGCTTCCTCAAGAACAAATTGGGAACGTGACCATAGAAGCAAATAAACTTCAAAATTTATTTCATGTATACGACACGCATTTCAGGGACGGATATGCGCGATATCTCTATGACGTCATCCGCAGGAGAGTTCCCGGTGCAAAGCTCAGCAAGTTGCAGCAGCCGCCGAGGACGTCGGCTCCCTGGAGGGGAGGGATGTTAGATGGCGCGGATCACCGATCTACGAATCATTACTGGCGGCAAAGGAAAGGCCGATTCAACCTCTCAGCAGGGAATAAATACCGGTGGATAGGAGGGAGCAGTCAAAGCGTGAAGAGAGTGCTACAGGGAGTTTGAACCAGCCGTCGAAGAGAGACGGACCTCCCCCTCAGATAGAGATAGCCCAAAGACCCTCTGAAAGGGCGAATCGGGTTGAAGACCCCCTGTTGTACATAGCGTTCTGTTTTTGTTGTTGTTAGTTTTGTGCCATAAGGATAAATTCTTGTACTCAAACCCGTGTTTCTCTATAGATCAGGTTATACCGGGACTTACCAGTAGACCACCCCCCGTTACGACATATCTGTTAGCCTTCAACATATTCAAAACAAGCTGTTTCATTTTTTTTACATTAGTCTGACTAGGATTAGTCGGATTGACATGGTGATGTCTGCAATCGTTTACATTTCTTGTTCATTGTTTTACTAACTTCTCGATGTGTTTTTTATTTTTATGGAACGCCTTGAGCGTACAAATGAAAATGAAAAAATGAAACGCCATTTTGTGTGCGCAGAAGGTCTCAAGCATGCGTTTTTTCAAAAAACGTTGTTGCTTCGATAACTCTTCTGCAGTCTTAATGTCTGAGGAGAAGATAGCTAGCGTTTACTTATCAAACAAAAAGTGCCATTGTGACAGCTGTTTGATCCTGCCGTTATGCCTTGATTTTAGTCTCACCCTCAGGTGAAAGGGGTCAGCCAGATGTTGGCCCTAAAGCAAAGGGGTCGAAAAATTTCTCCATCTATCGCACCTATGACAAGAACAGAGAGGTTTTTACCGCCGAACAAAATATCGATCGAAAAAGCTCAATTTATCGTAAAGCATTGATAGACGCTGATTAAAGTGCTTGGATTACAAAAAAAACGTTTTCAAAACGCAGTGATTCCAAAAGCATTTCGAGTTATTTCAGAAGAGTACACTCTTCTTTTCAAATGCACTGGATACAGTGTGCAGCAGACATCTCAGACTTTGTTAATGTAACTTTACAAAAATTTCGAGTGGAAAGATGACAGTGAATAGAGGAAAATCTTTGAGGTGCTCCTATGACTATGAGCCGCCAAAAATTAATGTTCTACGCAAATTTATTATTAAGAATGAAACCGACTTTCATTCTTGTGCAACTTATACCGTTTTCGCACATGCTCTTCCATGTTTTACTAACGGTTTCTTATCCTTCCTACAAATCCCAAAACTTATTGTAGTTTCGTAAAATTATGAACCACACTTCAGTAACACTTCTTATTTTGAAAAAGTGTATCACTCTGCTCTTTCTCTGTACTATCTAATATTACCTTGCAAGGATCTTTTTCTCTTCTGGAAAGGAAGCACATGGTGTACAATGCCATTTCATATTCTGGTGAAGTTCCAATCAATATCGATCCATTCCACTTGAAGGCATTACCCCACATGAATGTCAATCCAGCCATCACATACTGAGATAAACGAGAGACACGTTTTGGATGCCAAACAAGGCGAGTTATTCCGACTTACTCCTTTTTTCTCATTATATCCTTTATAGTCAAAGTTTTCAGCCGGGTTCTTTTCAAGCATGTAAAATCGTACCCAGTTGTGAAGTCCAGAAACCATGCCATGATCTTCCTAGTATTAAAGGCTGAATATGGTGTACCAATTCAAAAGGTTTTTCTTTTTAGAACCTCTCCGATAAAAACGTGCTCAAAACCGGAAGTGTCCAGCTCTCCCCGAGCGCGTGAGTAGTGATCAAACCATAAATGTTTGATACTGTTTCGGAAAGTGTCACGATCTTCTGCGAATGGATGATCTGAAAGCGCGATGTCAAGGATAGCATTGCCTGCACACACTTAAATTTGAATCATATACTGTCTGTAAATTAGCTGGCATACTGCCTGGCCAGCTCTGTCAACACACACACTTAAATTTGAATCATATACTGTCTGTAAATTAGCTGGCATACTGCCTGGCCAGCTCTGTCAACACCAACTGTGAAAATATCTCCGTGTTTTAGTTCCGTACAGCATAGTCCTCTCCCGGTCCTACCTCTACGTACAGTGAATACGCTGCCGATTCTGTGTGATCAGCATACACACTTGGACTCTATGCCAACTCTCAGTCCCGCAGCTCATTCTTTACAAGAAAATTGATAACGATAAAATAAAATTGATTCTATCCATAAGGAATAGTAGACTACAATACCCGTCACGGAGTGTATGTGCGCAAACGTCCTGTTTGATTTATAAAAAATTTTCTATTTGGAACATGCCTACACACAGACAGACATACAGACATGCAGATAAACATCCAGATTTATATATAGATTTGCTGGATAATTTCGAACTCTTAAGGCTGCGTTCATACTGATTCCCATGTTCTGGAACTGTTCCCGCACAGTTCTCGCACTGTGCTGAAACTGTGCGGGAACTGTGCGGGAACAGTTCCAGAACTGTGCTGCATGCGCTGCAGCCGCCCCGCACCGTTTTGAACGGCGGGAGTTGGAGAATTTTGACCGTTCTCAACGGTTTTTCTTCCAGATTTCGCTCATTTTGGCCTTAATCCTCCACCCCGCTTCCCTTTTTGATCAGCAGCACTGCGAACTCGAAGCGGGGTTGAAGAATGAGCGCTGTTCTGCTCCATGTATCCGGGAATATGGGCCTTCGTGCGCTCGTCCATTCTCTCATCGCTATTTTTGTTCAGACCTACTTCATGTGTTCTAGAGACTTGTCTATTTCAATCTTAAGACGACGCGAGACTACGCAGCGACTTGTTAGTACACATGAAGTAGGTCTGAACAAAAATAGCGATGAGAGAATGGACGAGCGCACGAAGGCCCATATTCCCGGATACATCGAGCAGAACAGCGTTCAATCCTCAACCCCGCTTCAAATTCACAGCTTTTCTCATCACTAGGAGAAGCGGGGTAGAAGAAAGAACGGAGAAGCAACGACATGGAAAAACGAACAAGGCTAAGAACGCCCAAAATCATGAAAAACAAGAGACAAGTCCCAACTCATGCAATTTCAGGATTTCTCCTACTCCCTAATTCGTGGCAGATGGCTATGGAAACTGGGCAGCCGCTTCCTGAAACAAATGAAGTAGTTTTGAGCAAAAAACAAGAAGACAGAATGAACAATCGCACGATAGCCCATCTTTCCGAATACACGGCGCAGAAAAGCGCTCATTCTTCAACCCCGCTTCGAGTTCACAGTGCTGCTGATCAAAAAGGGAAGCGGGGTGGAGGATTAAGGCCAAAATGAGCGAAATCCTGGAAGAAAAACCGTTGAGAACGGTCAAAATTCTCCAACTCCCGCCGTTCAAAACGGTGCGGGGCGGCTGCAGCGCATGCAGCACAGTTCTGGAACTGTTCCCGCACAGTTCCCGCACAGTTTCAGCACAGTGCGAGAACTGTTGCGAGAACTGTGCGGGAACAGTTCCAGAACATGGGAATCAGTATGAACGCAGCCTAAGAACAGATCAAATTCGATCAAGCGTTCTCTCAGCCATAGTTTATCTTGCGTTTCCCAACGTATATCCGTCAGGTGCAAATGTAAACGCGACTACTCAATTAAAAGTGCTTGGGCATGTAAAAGCGGTAACTAACAGCAAAGACTTCTCAGCATATGAAAGACTGCAAATTTAAAACACTTGTTGCATGGCTAACGGCTCAGTATCCTTTTGAGGATAACAAACAACGCCTGCTAGTACGAGTTCCTTTCACTTTTTAGGTTACACAAGTGTTTATACAACTATTACTTGGCCCCCTTTCTAGAAAACTTCTTTAACATATTTTAAAGGAAACATTACTTGCTTTCAAGTCAATAATCCCGTGACCGAAAATATACAGGGTGTCCCAAAAGTCCTTAAGCCTGACTTTTCAACGTAGTAACTTTGTTAGTATTCCTCGCTTTTCAGCCAAATTTTGCATTTGAGTTCCCCGTCTAGTTGCCAGTATTTTTCAAGAAAACCATACCGTTTGCATTGTACATTCTCGAGATATACTTCTTGAAGCAAACAATACTACAATCGTGAAGACAAACCGAAGGAAGCGTATCCCCTATTCGAATACTTACAGCTCTTTTGCCTTTGAAGCTGTTGTGGAATCTAAAGCTGCATATTGTAGAGCTAGGTTCACTCTACATCTACAGTGCAAAAGCAATCAATAGACTCAGTTCATTAGAGTAGGATTAGGATACAAACACTGAAGTTGTGCCGTGCCAATGAGAAGAAAAAGTTCTCGGAAACAAAAACTTGGGAAAGCTGAAAACTTCAACACTAATCACTTTGAGTCACTAATTCTAGCTGTAAGCCCTGCATTTCCTACTGAAATAGCATTTGTACTCCCAGTGCACCATAATTGCTGTTTTCTTGGTGTTCTCGAACACCAAGAATGCTACATTTTGACACTTTTGTCAAATCTCACGGATATGCTCCTCAGATTTACGTGCCTTCAATAGCCGGGTCAAGAGGCCCTTGACTTTTTTTTGTGATCAGTCATGGAAAGCAAGGCTTGCTCTATTCCATGCTACATTTTGGATAGTCTGGATTGCTTGCTTCAAAAGGTGTGAGACAATCTCGATGTCAACTATTTGGCTGCCATGGTGCACGCATTCCGCAAGCGTCTGAGAGCCTGTGTAAAAGCAAGAAGGGTTTTCCGATATTTGAGCGTATCATGTTGTTCTATAGGTTCTTCGCAAATTATCTGTTGAATTTCATGCGTCTATGTTGCTTTGTACATTTTCAGCGGAGAAAATACTAGGCTTAAAGACTTTAGGGACACCCTGTACATGCTGAGAGCGCATGCCTCAGCATGTATAAATGTTTTATTAGATTATCTCATAAGTTTTCTCAGTTTTTACTTTTTACCGCATAAGTCACACATTCAATTCTGATTAGAATGCTGGGTACCCTTCGTTAGAGAAGCAAGCTCTACGAGATGGCGCGTAATAGTTCGCACAGGCTTAGCGGTTGGAAGCCGAAATCTGTGAATTTTTGTATGCCCGAAAAATTGAAAATTTTTGATATTTTTGTCCAAAGAGAACTTACCAAATCCCAAATTCGCTCATGCATAAACGCTCCACATAATACATTCATATACGCCGTTGTTATGTTTGTTTCTGTGCTAAAAACCGAAAAAAATTAAAGTTTTTGAGCTTTCCAAAAGATGATGCGCTGTCCTCACATAGGTATAGGCTGCTGCATGACGAAGGCGCAATATCTTCGGGCGCGAACGCGGCTTTATTAGCCGCAGAGCGCATGAGATGCGGGATTTACAAGTGAGGATACGCGCGCTTCGCGTTCGCGTACGCTCAACTATTAACGCCATCGCGCTTTCGTCATGCAGCAGCCTTTATGTATATTACAGTTTAGTCTTTGAGAAACACCGATGTTGACTCTTTTTGCTAAAGTATTCTATGTTGAAGTCAATATTTCTCGGGATCTAGAGCGTATAGGAAGCTGGAACTCTGTTTTTGTACTGCTAAAGGCCTGCGATATACATTTACCTATGTGAGAACAGCGCAACATCACTTTTAGGGAAGCTTAAAATTTTAGTTTTCTCTGTTTTTAGCGCAGAAACAAACACAGCAACGGCATATATGAGGATATTTCTTCACATGAAGACTATAGACGAATCATAGCACGCAGAGACTGCGGACACACAGGCGTCTCTTTGGTCGAGCGCTCTTGCGTTTCTCTTACCATCTGTTGTCTCTGTGATGCTCGAACTATCTTGGCCGGACGCAATGGCGCCCAGTCATTGCGTGTTATAAATCGTGTATACTTACTCTTTGTCTGGAGAAATTTATAGAGTATCTTCCACGGCTTCGTTGCCAGAATGGTGTCTAGGAACAAGGAAATTTCTTCTCGTTCCTGTAATGGTCCATATCAGTGCACTGATAATATGCCATGCAAGTACTGTTGATCGGCAGAGCAAAACGTTCGTTTGTTTGCCAAGAAAAACTCGCTCCTACAGCAAGATTGGTTATCACAGCTTCACGTTATTGGGGCAATCGAGCATGCGAGAAGTTCCAAGTGTCAAGGACAGTAACTCCTCGGTTCCACTTACGTGCTATTCAAACTATATTAGTATTTTTTATCGTAGCGAGCGTACTTTTTTAGACCTGATTAGCTAGGAGTCATTGAGAGGAGGTGTTTTGCCAAAGCCTAGTGCAGGTTACATAGCTTGCCTAGATATCATTTTAGGGTAGAAGTGCAGAGCATGTCGTTTTCGCGACGGCTGCAGTGCACTCGAAAAAGTGCATTAACATAGCTGATTAGATTGCTAGAAAAAAGTTAAAAACTTTTGTAATTTATATTAGCCGTTCAATTCTCTCAAAGTGTGGTCAGGTCAGCTTACACCCATCAAAGCAATAGAGTCTCTCCTTCCTCCCCCCCCTCAAGCACAACTTCCTTAGCTTTATTGTCTCCACACCGGCTCCACTTTCAAAACCTAGTTTGAAGAACTGGCCACAGGCGGCCCCATCAACTCCATCCCAGAAGCCAGCCCTATATAAGGACCAGTACCGGCAATCATAGAAGAGGAATTATGGCTAGCCATAAGAAGAACAAGGGGGACGAGTTGCGTAGTGGTATGAGGCGCCGCTATGACCAGATTGGACACAGGTTGATTCCCGCGCCTGGACCAACCAAGCCCTCTACCCTTCGGGGGCGGAAAATTGATACTAGAGCGAAGAGAGGATAAAAGACTGACTTGGTAAAAGGCTGGCCCCGCAGGTCACTAATAGGCTCACTAATAGGCACGCATACAATTGCCTCTTCGACTAAGATGTAGTGTGCGTTCGGCGTATGCCCGCAAAGGGCTTTGAAGACTCCAAATCTTTGATCCTTTATCTTAACTTATAATAACGGGCTAAGAGTTGTTTACGTTTGTCTCTGTGTGTGTGTATGTATGTGTGTGTGTATGTCCCTCTGTGTGTGTGTGTGTGTGTATGTGTATGTGTGTGTGTGTGTGTGTGTGTGTGTGTGTGTGTGTGTGTGTGTGTGTGTGTGTGTGTGTGTGTGTGTGTGTGTGTGTGTGTGTGTGTGTGTGTGTGTGTGTGTGTGTGTGTGTGTGTGTGTGTGTGTGTGTGTGTGTGTGTGTGTGTGTGTGTGTGTGTGTGTGTGTGTGTGTGTGTGTGTGTGTGTGTGTGTGTGTGTGTGTGTGTGTGTGTGTGTGTGTGTGTGTGTGTGTGTGTGTGTGTGTGTGTGTGTGTGTGTGTGTGTGTGTGTGTGTGTGTGTGTGTGTGTGTGTGTGTGTGTGTGTGTGTGTGTGTGTGTGTGTGTGTGTGTGTGTGTGTGTGTGTGTGTGTGTGTGTGTGTGTGTGTGTGTGTGTGTGTGTGTGTGTGTGTGTGTGTGTGTGTGTGTGTGTGTGTGTGTGTGTGTGTGTGTGTGTGTGTGTGTGTGTGTGTGTGTGTGTGTGTGTGTGTGTGTGTGTGTGTGTGTGTGTGTGTGTGTGTGTGTGTGTGTGTGTGTGTGTGTGTGTGTGTGTGTGTGTGTGTGTGTGTGTGTGTGTGTGTGTGTGTGTGTGTGTGTGTGTGTGAACCTCTGTCTGTCACGAAATTCGTATTGCGCGTCAAACGGATCCACTTGGCTTCTGGCCAGCAAATTTGGGTCCGTAGTACTACTTTTTGCAGAGTTAAGGATATATTTGACAAGCTAATGTGCAAGCCATGGACGTTAGCCTAAAAAAGTAACGAAAAGTCTACTACTGTACGAAAACAGCGCCAAAAATCATTCGCAGTGTAAGCGGTCAATTTTTCAAGATTTTACCTGATCATTTGAAGAGATTTTTGCACAGAAATGTAGCCCACTATGTTTATTGCCCTTACGGCGACTACCGAGCCATAAAAATTTCAAAAACCTATTCGAATTTGCATCTGTTCTTCTGGGAAAGATTTTATCCACGCGAAAATAATTCTCACATGGAAAACCTCTACGAATGAATAGTTGTTTACGAATTATTCGTGATAGCCTACATAGCGCGGTGAGTTTCAATGTCATTATTATGCGGGAATGAGTAAGGCTACAGAAAATAGGGCCAGTGCGAGCCTCTGCGAAGCAGAGGTGACGCACTGGTTTATTTATAAGAAGAATAAAGAATGGCAAACCGACTGGCCCAGACGACATACCAAACGAGTTCTGGAAAATATGTGGACAATCCGGAGCCTCATGGTTAACGAGTTTCCTCAATCGGATCATAAGGAGCAAAAGTATACCCGACTAATGAGCCACCCAAAAATCTTCGAGCGAATAATAGAAACGCGTCTTCGAGATTTCGTAGAGTTGTCATCAAATCAGTGCAGATTCGTGAAAGGAGTAGTACAACTGACGCAATAAGCTCCGCTCGTTTAATGATGGGGAAATATAGAGAGAAGCAGAAGGAATTGCATGCAGCCTTGTTGGACTTTTAGAAAGCCTTCGATAAGGTGCCCCATGAAGTTCATATGGTGGGCATTACGGAAACACAGGGTGCCAGAGGAGTGATGAGTTCAGTGATAAAGCTGATCTACCACAATGCTTTAAGCCACGTGCAAACAGCTGCAACAGTGCTAAGCAATCAAAAGAATTCTAAATCAAGGTTGGAGTACACCAAGGTTCAGTTCTCTTTCCCTTGCTTTTTATCACTTTGATGAACGCCGTGCTGGAATCGCTCAGACGTAAACCTCCTTGGACACTTCTTTACGCAGATGATGTGGTCTTGATAGTGAGTACCAGAAAAAAGCCACAAGATGAGATGCAAAACTAGAAGAACAGGTTTAGAGTGTATGGCCTGGAGCTCAACATCAGGAAGACAGAATACATAGAAGTGGGGAAACAAACTTCTGGTACCATAAGCATCGACGGTGAAGAGCTTAAGAAGACAATGTCATACAAGTACCTGGGCAGTCACATCTCAGCGGAGGGAGGCTTACAGGAGGAGGTTGCAAGCAGGATGAACACAGCATGAATGAAATGGAGAGCGATGACAGGAGTTCTGTGCAACAAAAGAATGCCATGCATCTCGAGTCCAACTGTACCGAACCGTTATTCGTCCAGCAGCACTGTATAACACTAAGTGCAGCCTTGTACGCGAAACGAGGAGCGCAAGCTCAGTGTTATGGAAACAAGGATGCTGCAATGGACTTTAGGAGTCACACTGAAGAATCACATCTAAAATGACACTATACGAGCGCAAATGAAAGCAGCTCCAATTGCCCAGGAAATGCAGGAAAAGAAGTTACAATGGTGTGGGCACGTGCGCAAAAGGGGTAAAATTCACATCACCAAGTTAGCCCTGGCTATGGAGGCACCACCAGGCAAAAGAACAAGAAGTAAACCTAAGGTGACGTAGATGGACAGAATTAAGGCGACCTGCGAGAACTTGGATGGAGACCTTGCTTCAGAAACGACGTGGGGACGCCTGAAGAGAAAAGCAGAACCTGCATAAGCGGGACACATGTGAGGATTAAAAAAGTACATCAAAATATTAGGCTGTCCGGAATATAATGTCGCATATTATCCTACCGCGACAGAATGAATACAAGAACAAGAAAGTGGGGTATCATTGATAGAGCAAAGCAAGCTCTACAAGCCAATTTACAAACCTCCGCGAAAATCGTGCTTTACCTAAAGTTCAAATCTAAAGTATAAAAAATTTCAAATATATATCCGAAACTTATCTGTTCATAAAGCTCTTATGCATCTCCAATTTTCACAGGCATATACTCTCTACACTAAACATTCATCTGCGTAGTTTGTGGTCTTTTTCATTGGCTACAGTACGAAAAATAAAAATATGTCAAAAGTGCAAATATGTCGCGTTTTTCGGTTTTTTACAAACAATTTGATTTTACTCGAAAAGTAGCGCTTGTCTAAAGCTGAAAATCCATGGTTAGACTTCCAAGGATTCGTATTACAAAGTCACTTATTTGAGAGAAGCTCAAGGTTGCTTTGACAAAAATATGCCGAATTTCGCTCAATTTCCAGTCATGAAGAAACCACGAAAATGTGTATACAAGTTTCCCTTACCGTGAGTCCATGCGTGAGCAATTTAGGGGTTTTAGGATTTTCTGAACGAAAATACGATTTTTTTCGTTTCTTGGAACTTTAGTGCCTCACGAAATTAGGCTGTAAACTTCGCAAGAATCAAACCTGGCGCGAAGATTTGAGCTTCATTTTGTAGAGCTTGCTTTGATCTATCGGTTGATATCCCATTAACTTGGTTTCGTATTCACCCCGCCGCGATACTGCATGATAAAACACGATGCGACATTATTTTCCGGACAACCTGAAACATTTGTTACATCTGGAGTCCCCTTTTGAAAAGAAAACTCATATTGCGCGTTTTTTTTGTTTCAAAATGCATAAAACACTTTGTTCCAAGAAAGGCGCCAGCGGCCAGCCGGGTACCGTTCGCGGTGCGTTGGACGTTCCCTAGTTATTATCGCAGGCATCGTTGCAGTCGTAGGAAAGCTCTGTAATGCCTCACTCATCCTTCTTCCACCGTTGCAATTCATTCTTGAAACAGGAGATTGTAAAGTTCTATAATCTTCCACTACTTTCGATTTTGAGCTAGTTCGCAAGCCTTTTTTAATCGTGTTTTGTTCCTAGTAAGTCCGTCCAAAGCGATTATTTTGCTGGAACTTTGAGAAAGGTTTTTTTTTGAGAATGCTTGAAAATCCATTCCAGTTTACGTCATTTACAATGTTCTATGCCATCATAGCTTCTAGAGGTTTTGTTCGGAAAGAAGTCAATTTTTTTAAAAAATTATCATTACTGTAGAGGCAATCAATCGGCACGATTTTCCCTCTTATTATAAAAGTAAGTTTTGAAAGTTTTGAAACCGTGATTATATTAGGTCGTTCCAACAGTAATGTCGCTTTTTTCAAAT